ACAAAGGAATGTTTTGAGGTAACAGTGAGTAAGCACCAACATCTAGGAAAGATGCAGGAAATGGCCATCTCCTGCAAGAGCAGTCCTACCCACTCTCTTGGGGTTTGGCAAAGTAGCCATCTGGAGCAGGAGACTGGCTGAGGACCACTGGTACCTGTTCTAGGTCTAACTGAACCCAGTAAGAATTATTGATTTAAAAACCTTATTTCTGAAAAGGGCATCTCTATACACAAGTAAGGTGTAGCTCCAGGACTGGCTCCCACCTTGTGGGAAATGAGGAAAGTTATAAACCTGCCTTTTCATCTTTATTAATGCTAGCATCTCCAGAGTATCTTGCACATAAGAGGTATTGGGTAAATATTTGTTTACTTGAATGAATAAGGGCACGTGGCCTCATTAGGCTTTTGAACAAATGAGCATTTGTGACCAGAATCTGCTTTCATTTACTGTCTGTCCCTCCCTCAAACAATTGTTCAAGTGTCAGCCTCTGCTAATCCGTCCTGCTTATTGAGCAGATGTTGACCTAGACAAGTCATCGGGCTGAAATAACTTGCTGGAGTACATCTTAGTCATTTCATTTTGTATCCTCTAATTCCTCATTTCAAATGGAAATGGTTCTTGATTCATATCTGACCAGTTTAAGTTCTACCACTTACTAACTGAAGAATGACCTGGATGGTGGCTGAATTCTGGACTTTCATTTCCTCATTTGTAAGGCAAGTATAGTATTGTCTTTTTTCTGAGGGTTTTTATTCGGATTAACTGACCTAATGTCTAGAGCACCTAAACAAAGCTCCTGACAGATAACAGAAGTGAGAATTATTCATTTTCTCTTCTTCTTCTTATATAACCCGTGCAGTTGGTCACTGTTAATTCCTAGGATATGTTAACTTATTAATAAATCACAGTTATAAATCAATTTTCTGTGAATTTGGTTGCAATCTTGGAACATTAGTGACAGTAAAGTACTTGAGCACTGTCTGAAACAAGGTCTTTTTTTTTTTGAGTAGGGGAAACATGATCAGAAATTCATTTGTATATGAACTAAATTTTAAAAATTACTAACAGAATTAGCAATTCAAAATACATTTTAGCAGCACAATACAAAACAATAGTCCAAAAAGTTTAATCAACTGGGCAAATAAAAATCAATGAGAATTCTGGTATCTAACAGTCTAGTGAGTTTTTCGTCTGTGGTTTTATTTTGTGGGCACATCTTAATTTTGAATCCATGCCCATACCACTGATGAGTGTCTTTATCAGTTTTAGCAGTTCTGTGAAGAAGAACATGTTTCTTGACTGATATATTGTCACAGATTTGACACTTATCTCTCGATTTGTTTTTCTGCAAAGAGAAATCCTCTCAAACTTTCTTAAGCCAGAAAAAAGGGTTGGGGGGGAGGGAGTATTTATTAAGTCAGATAATGGAAAAAGAGAGCTTTAGGTATGTCTTCATTTTGTTTTAAAAGTTGACTTTTGATTCATTAAAGCTAAACTGGACAAACCTAGTTCTCCTCAGGCTTTCAGTTCAGTTTATACTTGGGAGACAGATGGCTGACCAGACACCAGCTGCCAGATTGTCATAGAAAGAAGGAAAAGTTTTAGATGAAACAGAAAAGCAAACAAACAAACAAACAATCATAGAGTGGGTATAATTCTGAGGGAAAAGTGCCAGAACCTGCAAGAGATTATAAAGGAAGAAATTTCAGAACTGAACAAGGAGGAGCCAAATATTGGCAGAGGTCAACCTCCAAGAAGGTGTAGAAGGAATGTATCTTGGCTGGATGCGGTGGCTCATGCTTGTAATCCTAGCACTCTGGGAGGCCAAAATGGGTGGATTGCTTGAGCTTAGGAGTTCAAGACCAGCCTGAACAAGAGCGAGACCCCCATCTCTCCTAAAAATAGAAAAATTAGTTGGGTGTTGTGGCTGGTGCCTATAATCCTAGCTACTTGGGTGGGCTGAGGCAAGAGGATCGCTTGTGAGATTGTTGTGAGCTATGATGATGTGATGGCATTCTACGCAGGGTGACAGAGACTGTCTTAAAAAAAAGAAGGAACATATCTGAAAATGATAAAAGTTATATACGACAAACTCACAGCCAGCATCATACAGAATGTGGAAAAGAAAGTTGAAAGCATTCCTATAACTGGAACAAGACAAGGGTGCCCACCGTCATCACTTTTATTCAATGTAATGTTGGAAGTGTACACAGAACAATCAGGTAAGAAAAAAATAAAACAAAATAAATGGAATCCAAATAGGAAAAGAAGAGGTGAAACTATCACTTTTTCCTGATGATATGATTTTATATCTAGAAATCTCTAGATAGACTAGAAGACTCTAAGAGACTCCTGGAATTAGTCAATAAATTGAGAAAAATCTGAGATTATAAAAATCAATGTACACAAATCAGTAGCATTCCTATACACCAAATAATAGCTAAACTAAGAGTTAAATCAAAGGCTCAATACCATTCATAACAGCTACAAAGAAAATAAAATACCTAGGAAAGAAATCACAGCTGACAAAAACAAACGGAAAAATATGCTCATAGATTGGTTGAATCAACATTGTTAAAATGCCCATACTACCAAAAATGATTTACAGATTCAGTGTAATCCTCATCAAAATACCAGTCATGTTTCACAGATCTAGAAACAAATAATTCTATGCTTTATACAGAATCAGAAAAGAGCCCCAGTAGCCAAAGAAATTAAAAAAAAAAAAGAACAAATCTAGAGGAATCCCATTTCCAGACTTTATACTACAAGCCTATAGTAATCAAAACAGCCTGATAGATGTAGAACAGTAGAACAGAACAGAGAACCAAGATACAGGCAACTGATCTTTGACAAAGCAGATGACAATATCACTGGGGGAAAAGAAGCCCTATTCAATAAATCAATAAATGGTGCCGGGAGAATGGGTTAGCTACATGCAGAAGAAACAGGACCTGTATCACTCATCACTCACAAAAATTAATTCAAGATAGATAAAAGACTTAAATGTAAGGCATGAATCTGTAAGAATTCTAGAAAGAAATGTTGAAAAAACTCTTCTAGATTTCACTTAGGGCAAGAATTTATGAAGAAGACCCCGATGGCAATCATAGCAACAACAGAAATAAATAGGACTTGATTAAAAGGCTTCTGCACAGCTAAAGACATAATAAATGGAGAAATTAGACAACCTACAGAAGGGGAGGAAATATACTTAAGCCATGTATCCAAAAAAGGGCTAATAATCAAATCAGCAAATTGGCAAGAAAAAAACCATCTGTTTAAAAAGTAGGCAAAAGACATGAATAGAAGCTTTTCAAAAGATAGACAAATGGACAATAAACACATGAAAAAATGTTCAACATTCTTAATCCTCAGGGAAATGTATATTAAAAGCACAATGAAGGGCTGGGCACAGTGGCTCAGGCCTGTAATCCTAGCACTCTGGGAGGCTGAGGCAGGCAGATTGCGTGAGCTCACAGGTTTGAGA